TCAGTGATGATACTCTGTGATAGTTTGTAGTTGAGAGTCTATAGTTACATCAGCAGACATTATTGATTCCTTTTCCTCCAGCTGTCTTTGTAGTTTTCAAAGTCCATACCATATGGAGAAGCAACACAGGATGCAATATAAGAAATAACTGTATGGCACAGTGTAAATGTCAAAATGTTCTCCTCTTTTACAATGTTTGTTGGTTCATGGTAAAAGTGAACTCACCATGTACATAGAACTAACTTTCCCAAATAGAGTTTAATAGAAAAATTAGCATGAACAAAGAAGGTCACAAAATGTAACTAATTTAGCTATTTGATTATTAACCTAAATATTTCTTATATTCATTTGATATTTCAAACATCATAACATTTCTATGATAAAAAAAAATCCAAAAAGTAAATTTTTAGGCTTAAATTTGACTTGAATCTCATATTTTCAACATAGTCTCTGACTTTTGGACCGCACTGTATAATGAGCATGAATGCCATTATGTTCTTGAACGTGCATAGACGGCAGTAATTTCCCATCTCTCCTTGTTCATAGAAATTTGATGTACTAATGTACAAAATGAGAATGTGTTTTGAGCCCAAATAGAGTTGAATAGAAAAATTAACATGAACAAAGAAGGTCACAAAATGTAACTAATTTAGCTATTTGATTATTAACCTAAATATTTCTTATATTCATTTGATATTTCAAACATCATAACATTTCTATGATAAAAAAAAATCCAAAAAGTAAATTTTTAGGCTTAAATTTGACTTGAATCTCATATTTTCAACATAGTCTCTGACTTTTGGACCGCACTGTATAATGAGCATGAATGCCATTATGTTCTTGAACGTGCATAGGCAGCAGTAATTTCCCTTTTCTCCTTGTTCATAGAAAGTACTAATATACAAAATGAGAATGTGTTTTGAGGAAAATAACCTCATCATTCCATATGACATTTTTAGGAAGGGCTAAATAGTCCATAAATTTGAACATAAAGTCATAAATGCCAGAATAAGGCAGAAAAGGGGAGAAAAGTTCAAATTGTAAATGTGCTGTGAATAATGAGATCTCCAGCTGAATGTGGGCAAGAAGGAGATAAAAGATGAGGGAAAGAAGGAGAGAAATTCGACTGTAAACAGTGGAAGGCAAAAGAAGGAAGGTAGAGTGAGAGAGAGAGAGGGAGTGAGAAAATCTCATAAAAGCACTGCTGCATATGACTACATTTATGCCGGTATACTGTATGTGGGAAAGGGACGGCAGGTTATGATTGAATGTGTTTTGAGGAAAATAACCTCATCATTCCATATGACATTTTTAGGAAGGGCTAAATAGTCCATAAATTTGAACATAAAGTCATAAATGCCAGAATAAGGCAGAAAAGGGGAGAAAAGTTCAAATTGTAAATGTGCTGTGAATAATGAGATCTCCAGCTGAATGTGGGCAAGAAGGAGATAAAAGATGAGGGAAAGAAGGAGAGAAATTCGACTGTAAACAGTGGAAGGCAAAAGAAGGAAGGTAGAGTGAGAAAGAGAGAGAGGGAGTGAGAAAATCTCATAAAAGCACTGCTGCATATGACTACATTTATGCCGGTATACTGTATGTGGGAAAGGGACGGCAGGTTATGATCGGATACAGAATGAACTGCTATGGTTTCATTGGGTTACATTAGCATACCACAACCCTGATCTCAGCCCCTCTAGGTTTATGTTTGGAATATGCATGTATATATTAAATGCTTGCTTTCGTTGTCACATAATGAAAGCAAATGTGCGGCAAATCTGATTCATAGAGTGATAAAGCATCCTTTCAGATGTAAGAATCATCTGAATACAATTACTATAAAATGAAATGTTATTGAGTCCTCATTCATTCAAGGATTTCATGGCTTTTTGAAGCATTATGAGAGCCACAGAAATATTTTCTGATATTACATAAGATAAAACACCAAGCTGAATACCTGAAGTCATTTGGTTATATACTGTATAATGCAAATTCATCTTTTTTTAAAGGAAGTGTAGTTATTAGTCTCTTATTGGCCTGTTTAGACAAGTCCTCCATAAAGCAAACAAAACAAGCCTTGCAGATTAATAAAATAACAAGTTTTACTTCAAATGTGGCTTCTTATTACAGAATTCAATTATTTAATAGTATTCTATACACTGACAAGGGCTATTTCGATTAGTATTGCATTATAAATATATAGTTCAGTCATGAAACTTTAGATGGCACATTCTGACGGGGTGTTAACGCAACTGATGATATTCAGAGAGTTAAACGACTTGGCACAAGCTGATTGGTTCATGCTGCATATGCAGCCAATGAGCTTACTACCTTGCATTTATATGGCTGGCTAGCATTCACTTGAGATTCCTGCAGCGTGCTTTCAGAGTTCTCTGAAACCCTCCACCTTCCCCAGCTCCACCTGTATAGATCTGCTACGGGTTATATTATATGCTATTTGTGCAGCAGCAGTATGTCTTAAATACTCATGGCACCATGGTGAGATGGCTTGAGGGACACAGATAAACCATATACTGTTGCATTCATGTGCTGATTCTCTTCACGTTTCATCAGTCAAACATTCCCATCTGCACGGTATTCAGCAACAGCGATAGTTGGATGCTTTTGGACATATAAGGGATTTCCCGTCATCGAGTATGAATAAAACATAAGTTACATGTGAGAGTTTAGCGCTGCGTGCTTTTTCATTTTGATATCACATATCACAACAGCCCTAATTAACACGATAACATGATATTACATTTTTTAAATACCACGATTATCTCAAATATATATGTATATTGTATATATGTATATTGTGACACCTCAATTAAGAGATTAAAATATTAGTTGTACTGATCTATTAAGAGATTAAAATATTAGTCATTATTGTTCTATTAAGAGATTAAAATATTTGTCACGTCACTTCAGTTCAGTTCAATTCATTACTTGCTTAACAGGCATGACAATTGTTACAATGTATTGCCAAAGCATAGTATTTACATTGAATCTAGAGATATGTACAGATATGTATTTAATAATAAAAAATAATAAATGCATGTATATTTTTTTTTTAATTGAGCAAATCAACATTTTAGAATTCTATATACAATTTAAAATTTAGAGTGGTGTGTGTGCATGTGTGTGTTTGTTGACGCATCACTGATTTTTTTGACTCCTCCCTCTTTTTGTGACAGGTATGTATCTTGCTGCTATTAAGATACAATCTCTTTTTTCCCCTTAAATATTAATAATAAATATTAAGTTGTGTTTTATTGTTTAACATTTTGAAGTCAGGGTAAAGTATTTCAAATTTTGGATAAAATTTCTTTCAAATTTTTTTCATAGTTAGGGCAGCTGGTGAGGAAGTGTTGCTCTGTCTCCATTTCTCCATGGTTACAGTATGGGCAGATGCGACTCTCTTTGGGCAGCCAGTTCTACTGATATCTGCCTGTCTCTAAAGTCAGAGTATCAGAGTATTGCTCAGTCTGTACCTTGTCATTTCTCTTCTTAATTCACAGTCTTTCACGGTACTCAGATATTATATTATTGTAGTTGCTATTGCTCTATTAAGAGTAGGGCAGTCAAGATATCAGATTTTTTACTACACTATTATCATGGCCAAAACAATGATGTATTGCGATATCTACAGAAATCTAGAAAAAGATATGAAAATATTATAATAAATAATAATTAAAATAACACATCTTATGCCCTCAGCAACGAGTATGACTTTTATTTTGAAATCTCATGGTTATCTCACAACAGCTCTAATTAACAATTACGAAATTTCCTTTTTTTTTAATATATATCATGATTATAGTCAAAAAAGATATATAGCAACACCCCTATTCTTTCTCTCTCTGTATATATATATATATATATTCTCAGAAAAAAGTGTCAAAATATAAACTCAAAATCGTGAGATGTAAACTCATGAATATTTTGAGAAAGTCGCAATTAACTTTTTATTTAAATTTTTTACTCCATGATGGAAAAAAATCCCAGTGAATAACTAAAAAGCATATGCCATATATTTATGTACATTTTTTAAATGAATGTGTTCAGTGGAAATGCTTTCATTATATAGGTTCAGCATGCACTCATTTGTCATTATTAGTTTTATGTAGCCAACATCAAATTAGCAAACAACATGATTATGCACTTCCAGACCTCCCTGATAATTGTAATACAATTATGTTGTGACTGGTCACTGTAGGCTTTTCTTCTGCTGTCAGAATCAAACAGAGACACATGCTTAGACAAAATGACAGAGGAAGAAAAGAAGAAAGAGGGAGTCTGAGCTAAAACAGAGCTTAACTGACAGTCTGAGCCAATGCTCAGTGATTTAGTCTTGTGTGTGGGAGCCTCTGGGCTCAGCGCTCATGGGATCATTGCACATTGTAATGCCCTGTGACACCAATGGAACTCTTTCTCCAAGGCCTTACAATTGGTGCTTGTCTCCTCAGTGTTGTGCAAATGTCTTCATTTCTCTCAGTTTCTGAGGGATGCTAATGTCTTTTTAAGTGGCCCGAATGCATTTCTATTTGTATTTGATAATTCCCCTAATGTAACGCTGTTTCTAGATTGTACAACATTTTGCAATGGAAGGTGTTGGGAAATTCTTTTAAGAGTTTTTCAACTAAACTGTCTGTGCTGAAGACAAATTGGCTTGTCCTTATTTCAAGTAGTGATCAATCAGCAGTGCACAATGATTGCTAAAGTTTTAATAAAACCTCACTTTGTTGCTCCTATATGGTTACAGTAGGTGACTTGTACTCATGTCATGTGATTAACGTTATTGGCTCTGCTGTTTTTTTTCCTATAACACCCACACTGAGTCGCTCAATAACTCACGCATTCATATTATGAACCATCTCATGTTCTCTCATCTCACTAGATTTGAAGCTCATAACAGCTCAATATAATTCATTCACCTTCATCAAAGGTTTCACAGTAATAATAACCATAATAACTTTTCTCACTCTCCTTCTGTTTTTCAGATGAGTTCAAGGCCTTTCTCAAGAAATTGCCAACAGATCATTTTTTAAACACCTCTGCTGTCTTAAAGTTCTGGACGTCAGATCTGGTCCTGCAGAGACGTTATGGTCTGCTGGAGGCGAGCACTAAAGTGGTGCTGGGAAAAGCCATCAAGATAGTGCGCAAACTCTTCACTCTCAGCAAGCGCTGTCCTACACAGCCAAAGATCAGCCTGCCTAGAGAAAGGTACGAGGCCATATGATCTTTTTTTTTTCAAATGCAACACATTTAAGGGGGGGGGGTCTTAATGTCTTTGATGTCATTGCAACACTACGTGGGGAAGTCGTGGCCTAATGGTTAGAGAGTCAGACTCGTAACCCAAAGGTTGTGGGTTTGAGTCTCGTACTGGCAGGGATTTGTAGGTGGGGGGAGTGAATGTACAGCGCAATACCATGACTGAGGTGCCCTTGAGCACGGCACCAAACCCCCAACTGCTCCCTGGGCGCCGCAGCATAAATGGCTGCCCCCTGCTCCGGGTGTGTGTTCACGCTGTGTGTGTGCGTGCTTTGGATGGGTTAAATGCAGAGCACTTGTCATGTCACGTCACATTTAAGGTAGCATGTACAATGTGAGTTTCAATTAAATGTATAGTTCATCCAAAACCCGAAACTACATCATTAACTTTTTACTTTTTTTGAATATGAAAACAAAAAGTTGCCAGATATCTGAAAAGACAGATGAGAAATGAGGCTGGAGGATTTTAAAGATTTAAAATTTAGGCCGCATTTAAACTGTAGGTCTTGATGCCCAATTCCAATTTGTTAACTATGTCCCCTTTTTATTTTTTGACAACCAGTTTACATCTTCTTTTAAAAGTGACCCATATACAATATCTGCATTTACACAACTTAAGTTAGATGTACTGACCCAGAAAAGTGTTCACCTGAGTTGACGTCATTTGCCGCCATCACTTTTTCCAATTTGTCCGCTTACATGGCAGACACAAATGCATGTATCGAAATCCTTGTGTCTGTTTTTTCCTGCTTACATGTTCGTGGGTCATATCCGATCTGTGCCCCATCTGAGAAAAAAATCGGAATAGGGTCACTTGAACCATGTAATGTAAATGCGGCCTTGGACTTGTGGTGCCCATATAGAGTGAAAGTTTCTGAAGAGTGGTCAGTGTGTGCACTCTATAATCAAGAGCTCCAAGCAAGTGACAGGTTGTAGTTAGCATCCTTCAGTTTGAAGACTTTCACTAGTCAAAAGTATTTTCGTGAAATTCTCAAGTGATGTCTTCAGTGCACTGAAAATAAAGATTAAAAACAGGGTGACTTTTCTTAAAAGAAAACAACTTGTGCATTCATAGTTTTATAGTCACAAATTCTAGGGTTAATTTCATTGCAAACAATCATCTTCTCCTGCCTGCTGAGGCACAGGCTCAAGCTTTCGTCCAGCGAGGTGGTACGCATACGGGAAGCGCTCCAGAGTTTCAACGCCAAGCTCCCCAACTCCACCGAGTCAGAACTCAGCCAGCTGTGCAGCTAGCTCAAATGAGGCTCTGTTGCTCATTTTTGCCTGCCTGTGAGAATGTATTTGTAAATGTGATGAGAGAGAAAGGGAAAATAAATATATTGTCAGTGTGCGTGTAAATGTTTGTGGATGAGATTGTCTTTGAATCCTCTTCCTTTGGGCAGCAATTGTAAGAAGCAGAATTTTTGATTGTGACTGATACAGGAGCGTACCTTAGAAGCCGTATGTTCCCAGAATATTCCCTTGCTGGGAAAACCTTGTTGGATCTAGCCTACAGTCAAACTACTTAGTGTCTTTGAGTAAGGGTTCCTTTTGAGACGATGGGGATTTTAACTAAGTGATTCATGAAAAAGAACATTTTAAGTGAGAATATATAGCTACGATTTCTTAGCACATATGTGCTAAAGTTGTAGTTATTCTTGGTGATGTCATTGTTCAAGACGAATCCAGAGAATCGATCTATTCCGATGTAAAGTGTCAGAGCACAGTGGTCCAATGGTTATAACAATCAGCAAAGAATCAAATGTGCTTTTCTATTTTATCTGGAGTCGCAAATCCTGTATTGTGAGATATGTATATATGTACTTAATGTGGGACTGAATTGCCAGAATGTTGAATAGAATTTCCTTTGTATTCCAGAGATATTGCTAAACCAAAAGGTAAACATGAAAGCAAATTGAATGGCAAAATTTCTTTACTGTTTTTTTTTATGTTCACTGAAATCTCTTTTGAGAAGGCAACCTTAAGGTTGCAGTACATACTTACAATATTGTTTTGAACAGGTTTGTGGGCTGCTTTGTAAATACTACTCATCTCATTCAAGACATGAAAAGCTTCACATTGCTTCTTGGATATATACAGATAAACACCCATATTTGTACTTTTTTGAAAGTGCAAAGACCAAAAAAAAACACACTTCAACACAAAACAATTGCCTTACGAAGTGAAGTCTCTGTTCTGATATCAAAGCACACCTGGCTGTATGTCTCTCTCTTAAAGAAAAAAAAGAAAAAATTATCTTTCTTTTTTTTCCTCAATACTAAATTCTAATTTCAATTACAGTGACCTCTAATCTGTAAATGTCAGTTTTTTTTTATTGCCGTATTATATGAGGAGTGCATTACATGTTATCTATGTGCAAATACAGAGCAAAATATTTGCATCACCTGGTTCAATAGCTTTGTTTTCCACAACATTTCCCTGCTTTTCTATTAAACATATGATGATGTGAAGACGCATAACTGTAATACATGAATTAATTTAGTATCTCTACATCTAGAGGCAATTATTTCCATTCAGCATTTAATAACCATACATGTACTGCTTAAGTGTTCTTGATTAAGTTACTTGGGTTGTAGCATTTGTCAGCACAAACAACCACAGAATTACAGCCTTTGACAACACAGAGCATTTATTACTGCTTTTTATATAAAACTGGAATGTGTGGAAATGTCTGTGAAAATTGCGTATATGCATCAACATAAAAAAAACGATCAGTTTTCTGTCAAGATAAGATGGATCGCTCAATATATGGGGAGCAACTTTTACAGCGCTACATAAAAAAAAAACCCAGAATAAAATAATTGCAATTTATGTGGTTGTCATGGAGAGCTGTAGGACCTTCACATTGTCTGTCACGATATATCTGTGACTCAACTGAGAAGGGGAAAAACATTCTCGCTAAATTCAGAAGATGGAAATCACAGGGAGTCTGTAAATATGAGTTGTTTATCTTAATGTCTAAGACAGGAATCAGTTTTCGCACCTTCAACAAATTGTCAAGACAGTGAAAGGCATCTAATCAATCAAAACAGCCCTGTGTAAACTGGCATAGTCTCGTTCTTGAGAAACAGAGAGTTTAAACTAAACTGCCTGACGTTACAATGTATTTTTGGTAACACTTTATAATAACTTTCATAAATTTACTTATAAACAATACTAACATATATAATGTATACTACCGTCCAAAGGTTTGGGATTGGTGCGATTTTTTAAAATAACTTTTTCAAATAAATCTGTTAGTGTCTTATGCTTTAACTCTTTTCTATTTTAATATACTTGATATATTTTAAAATGTAATTTATTCCTTTGATGGCAAAGCTGAATTTTCAGCTGTCATTATTCCAGTCTTCAGTGTCAAACTATCTTTCAGAAATGTTTTTTTTTCTTGTTATTATTAATGTTGAAAAGAGTTGTGCTGTTTTATATTTTTGTGGAAACCATGATATATTTTTTTCTGAGATTCAGCTGCATTTATTTTAAATGGAAATCTTTTGTGACATTGTAAATGTCTTTATTGCCACTGTCAATTTAAAAAAAAAAGAACTCTTACTGACCCCAAACTTCTGAACTATAGTGTACATTAAAGTTATGAATATTAATTTCATGTGTATAATGTAATCTATTAACAAGTGATATTTTAGGTATTATGTAGGCATACTATACTGTTCAAATATGTATTATATAAAAAGATATGAAAGTTATTAAATAGTGTCACCTATTTATCTCATGGACATGTGAGATATGAATCATCTTTTTAGTTTGTTTGTTTTTTCCCCCCCAAACTAATATATTTCTGATTAAAATTGCTCTAGCCATCATGGTATCATTCTTGTTTACACAACTTAAGTTAGATGTACTGACCCAGAAAAGTGTTCACCTGAGTTGACGTCATTTGCCGCCATCACTTTTTCCAATTTGTCCGCTTACATGGCAGACACAAATGCATGTATCGAAATCCTTGTGTCTGTTTTTTCCTGCTTACATGTTCGTGGGTCATATCCGATCTGTGCCCCATCTGAGAAAAAAATCGGAATAGGGTCACTTGAACCATGTAATGTAAATGCGGCCTTGGACTTGTGGTGCCCATATAGAGTGAAAGTTTCTGAAGAGTGGTCAGTGTGTGCACTCTATAATCAAGAGCTCCAAGCAAGTGACAGGTTGTAGTTAGCATCCTTCAGTTTGAAGACTTTCACTAGTCAAAAGTATTTTCGTGAAATTCTCAAGTGATGTCTTCAGTGCACTGAAAATAAAGATTAAAAACAGGGTGACTTTTCTTAAAAGAAAACAACTTGTGCATTCATAGTTTTATAGTCACAAATTCTAGGGTTAATTTCATTGCAAACAATCAGCTATGTAACGAAGATGCCCTCAAAAGAAAGTTACGAACTTCACTGATATTTGGCCAAGTCTGAGATCTGAACAGAAATAATTCCAGAAATGCAATTCTTACTAAAAGTAATTCCAGAAATGCAGTTCTTCGTGTTCTATTCAGTTTGTTTAAATGATAATAAAGGAAAAATATTTTAACTGATGACTGATTTCAGAGGAGTTTTTCATCAAAATAGAAGATTCACATAAGAGATAACCAGTACTAAATCATTGAACCAAGTTGAACCAAGATGCATCTGTCTGAGTCAACATTAATGTGTGAGAACTGCTTAGTGGTTTATTTAACTGCCTGAATGGCATCTTGACATCAAAGGCTCTAATGAACAAGAAGTACATGTTACATTAGTGGATTTATAAGATTATTAATAAACTCAACAGTCCAGGACAAAAGGATGCCTGATGAAAAGAAATCTCACAGGGAGGCAGCCAACAGAAAGGGCATGTGATGCAAGACATTTTATTTATGTATGCATGGCATTACGTATGCGTCAACAGTTGTGAAGTGAGTAGGAAGATAATGGATAGCCCATGGAGTTGGAGCATTTATTTAAGTGACTTGTCTCTCGTTAAATTGGATGAAAGAGAATAAAAAGAATGCACACGCATCCCCAAAGGCTTTTAAGACTCACTTCCTCTACTGGTTAAGAACAATTTGCATTTGTCAAAGAACGGGCCATCAGCACTCGATTAATATTCGTATCAATCAGCAAGAGGAAATGAATGCCTCATTTACCACAAAGAAAATAAGGCCGATGTCAAGTCTTCACTGAACAATTTTAACATGTTAGTGAACAATTTTTCATGTCAGCGAAGCCCAGATTTCTTTCGATTTCATCTTTATTTAGTAAAGCCAAGCCTGTCATTTTTTCAGGAACTAATCTTGTCCGTAATTATCACCTTCTTTCTTGCAGGACTCTGGGTTTTTGGCTCAACAAAGCGCAGTCTCTGTTGTACTGCAGCGAGCATGGTGTGTACAGCACCTTCTCTGAGGAAATGCAGGGCTGCATCTGCGCCACTGAGCAACGCACTGTCTGCCAGGGCAACGTGCCATGTAAGGTGGGTGAGGGGACCCTCTGCTCGTCCTGCGCCCCAGACAACATCACCCGCTGTGGCACATGCCTCCCAGGCAGCATCCTCTATTTGGGATTCTGTCGTCCCAACATTGCCAACTCTTTGGACCACTACGTCAACTTTGACTTTGACATGCCGGACGCAGAAATGCGTTACCTCCTCCAAAGGCTCGACAGCCGCATGGAGGTCCACGCCATCTACATCAGCAACGACGTGCGTCTGGGCAGCTGGTTCAATCCGGCGTGGAGAAAGCGCATGCTGCTCACCCTCAAGAGCAACAAGAACAAGTCCAACCTCATCCACATGCTGATGGGGATCTCTTTCCAGATCTGTTCCACCAAGAACAGCACGCTGGAACCCGTGCCTGCAATCTATGTCAACCCCTTCGGGGGCAGCCACTCCGAGAGCTGGTTTATGCCCATCAACCAGCAGGAATTCCCAGACTGGGAAAGAACTAAATTGGACGCCTCACTCCAGTGCTATAACTGGACCCTCGCTCTTGGCAGTAAGTGGAAGTCCTTCTTCGAAACTGTGCACATTTACCTGCGCAGTCGCATAATCACAGACGATCCCACCGCCAACGAGACGCTTTTTTATGAGCCACTGGACCTGGATGACCACTCGGCCAACCTGGGCTACATGAAAATCAATAGCCTGAAGGTCTTTGGCTACAGCATGCACTTTGATCCAGAGGGAATCAAGGACCTGATCCTGCAGTTGGACTACCCGTACACGCAGGGTTCGCAGGATGCGGCCTTCCTGATGCTTCTGGAGATGAGGGACCGCATTAACCGGCTCTCTCCGCCAGGAGCCCAGCCGCTGGACCTCTTCTCCTGCCTGCTGAGGCACAGGCTCAAGCTTTCGTCCAGCGAGGTGGTACGCATACGGGAAGCGCTCCAGAGTTTCAACGCCAAGCTCCCCAACTCCACCGAGTCAGAACTCAGCCAGCTGTGCAGCTAGCTCAAATGAGGCTCTGTTTAAAAAAAAAAGAACTCTTACTGACCCCAAACTTCTGAACTATAGTGTACATTAAAGTTATGAATATTAATTTCATGTGTATAATGTAATCTATTAACAAGTGATATTTTAGGTATTATGTAGGCATACTATACTGTTCAAATATGTATTATATAAAAAGATATGAAAGTTATTAAATAGTGTCACCTATTTATCTCATGGACATGTGAGATATGAATCATCTTTTTAGTTTGTTTGTTTTTTTCCCCCCAAACTAATATATTTCTGATTAAAATCACTCTAGCCATCATGGTATCATTCTTGTTTATGTGCACAGTTGACTGAGAAAGCTATTACATTTTTCTGTGCAAAGTCATGAGATGAAAATTCATTATTCACTGAGGCTCTGACCATCTACTCAGATTGTGCTGTACCTATTGTAATACACTCTCATGTCAAAGTGAACATACTAATATCTAATCCAGCTATTTTTGGGATTCTAGTTTAAACAATTTAAGCTTTCTTTAAGCAGATTTCATGTTAACGTCCACCAAATATCTAAAACTGTACTCTGTACTTCATTTGAGGCTTTTACCTTCAACACAGCTCTCAGATTATTTACTGTAACAGTTACAAGCAGCTTTATTTTCATTTCTTTGGGAATTCACCAAGGGTTTTATTCTGATATTGCTTCTCAGATACACAAGATTATGCTTTTCTAGAAACATGTCAAATGTGACCTACTTTCAGGCTTTTTCTGCACGCTGTTTCAGTGACTTAAAAATAAAATGTGAGGTTTTTCAGATTCCAGGAAAGCGTTTGAAACCCATTCCTTATTAGCATATAATAAATTTATTTAGCAAAAAATAAATCCTCTAATGTGCACAGTAATGCTGTGGCAAGGGGGCAAAAAATTATTTGTAGTGAAATCATTGTATTAATTAATTTCAGACTGTAGTTATTTACCGAGCATGCTCTGAAACAAAATGGCATGTTGTCAAGTGAATTCAGCTCCTGGAGTTTGAGGTATCCGTTAGCGTCATACTAGTCGCTGAGTGAACTTACACATCAGGACTCCTCGAAAACCTCAGAAAGGAAGGATATTTCAGCCCTGTACTTAATTCCAGTTGCAATCAACTTCCCTCTCATCCTATCTTTAAACTTCATTTCTGTGTTGAGGATAGCCAGACACCCATAACTGTATATCTGTATGAACACAGCATTCCAGACAGCTTTACCATGCTGTAAACATCAAGTGACTGAAATTGTATCTCTGTATCTCTCATAAACAGCCTGTACATCCACCTTTTTTATATAATATTCAAATAACATTTAATCTCACAGAGTTCAGTCCAGGGTCCTGCCTTCAGCCTCCATGCTTTGCCATAGTGCAACATATGTTTTTTTTTCAATGTCCCGAACCAAAGTGCTGAATGTAAATAGTCTGACTGCATCCATTTCTATGAGAGACAATGTAGCTCCGTTACGGGCGTGAGGTGCCAGCTTGAAGTATTGCAGAGGGGATTCTATATGTGGTGTATGATTCTGTACAGAGTCAGATATGGGCAGTGTGGTCGTGAAATGAAACATTATCTTTATACTCTTAAGATCATTTCTCTCTCTCTCAATGTTTTAACAAGATGTAAATGTTCTTATATGAATTAATAAAAGGATGAAACAATCCTCTCCCCCCATGGAGTCTAAATAAATGCTTTACTGGGTAAGTGCCATCTCCTTTTTACCATGAAGAGCATACTCTTTGATCTGTTATACAGCAACAGACGACCATTAAAAGATTAAATGTAGCCATTGTTTTCCATGGTACTAATCATTTACTTTTATGGAGACATTCATTTGTAGGCTAATTTCTAATAGGTTTTTAGAACAGCAGTTTTCTATTTAAAATAAACAAGGTCTGTAGTTCACAGGGTTGTCCCTTATTTGGAATTAAACTGAGAATATATTTTAAACTCCAATTTCTAAATTTAAATTTGAACTGATTTTATGTATATTACGCAACATAGGCTCACTGGGAAAAAAAACACCAACAACTTTTATTAATTTTCACACAAATTATGATTACAGCGGCAGATTATCGACTAATAAAGACTTATTTTCATGCAGTTCCTTGCACAATACTATGTTTATCAACTAATAAAGACTTATTTTCATGCAGTTCCTTGCACAATACTATGTTTATCGACTAATAAAGACTTATTTTCATTCAGTTCCTTGCACAATACTATGTTATGACCTCAAAACACTTTTACCATAGCACCTTGTTTGTTAACGAATACATTTAGTTGTTTGCAACACATAATCAGCACTATATATGTATGGCTATTCTGACATGGTAAACTTGTTCGACAGCACACCTGGTACAACACTGCACTTTCAATGCAGAACGCTCAGGAATGAGTCCTGTGAAATACGATTCACAATAAAACAACTCAAAGACTTATAAAAGCAAACTATGGCATGGTTAGTGAATCTGTTTTTATCTCATACTTGCTTTTGTTAATATTATGGGTTAATGTTTAGTGTAGGTGGAGCATTATTTTCAAATGTGATAGAGCATTAATCTTTTAGGGCCACTCACTGGGCATTTCATTTCCGAATTCTAGCAATATGTACAACAAACTTCAAATTAAAAAGTTACCAGATTCAGATAAATGTTTCGGATAAATCTGAATGCACTTTTGGCGCCACTCACTGGACATTTCATTTTGAAATTGTGATAAAAGTGGTATGAAGTGGTATGAAATATCATTCTGCAGAAATGTCGCACCAGGCATGTTTTTCAATGAGCCTGGGTTGATATTACAATAGCAAACAGGAAGCAGAAACATTAGAAATTCCCAGTGCAAATCCTCAATGACAATGATAATTCCCTTTCAGGTTTTAGGACTACAAACTGAAAAGGTTTATTAAATATAAGGGGACAGAACTGTTGCTGTATGTTTATGAGAGAGGCCATTCTGACCTCAGGGACTCTTTCCTACGACTCTATATGTCCCTGCTGGAACAGAAATCCTGTGAGGAAACAGGAAGATAAGCGAGTCAGGTAGTTCAAAATATAATCTGACTTCAACACACCACACCACAGAGCAAATAAATTCTTCCTGATTCTCCTCCAGTGTACGTTTGAGGATTCAAAGGCAGATAAAGAGACACCACAAACAGGTTTAGCACAACTGAGAACAGGAAGAAAGTTAACAAGACAGGTTTCCATGGGCATTGAGGGTGGATACACCGGCCTAGTTTATTTGTTCCATCTAAAACGGGGGTTTTAAAGAAATGAAAAGGTCAAAGCTGGTAGAGGAACCGAAGGAATTGGCACACCAGTTTCCTCAGCTTCAGCAGAGATGTGTGAATCGATAAGATGGTTGGGGGCTGACAGAATGACAGCCACCGGGAGTCCTGAAGGACATCCTGTGAGGGAGAAGAGAAGAGTAGGGTAGAAGAGAATCTGACAGGCCACTTTAATGAATAGTAATTATTTTTCAAAGGAAACAGCTCTGTGGGTTGTAACAGTGAAATCCGTTTCCCACTCGAGGAATGAAGATGTGATTTGTTACTCAGGCCAACAGCAGGTTTGAAGAAGCAGAATCCTGACACAGAGGGTTAAAGTCCAGAGCAATGAGTCATTTTGAAGAAAATCTCTTTTATTGTGACTGAAACTCTAAAATATCAGAATCGTCTAATAGATTTTGTCATTAACTGTCTTTATACAGGCATTAAAGAGACAGTTCACCCAAAAATGAAAACTCTCTTCATTTACTTTGTTGTTCTTCTAAATCTATATTGTATGTGATTAGCTAAGCACAAAAATGTCAAATCTGTTTTCTACGCATTTAATATGACTATGCATTATTATTATTTAAAAAATGACAAAATACTATATTGTAACAATACTATTGTATATACAATATACTACTATTATAAAATAAAAATCAGTACAATCCTAATAATAATATGTTTATATTTTATTTTATTTTACAGAACAAAAGTAAAATTACTAAAATTAATATTTATGGTCATCTTGATTTCTTTCGAACTGTAAAGCATAGAGCTTTTATTTGGGTGAAAAACTACAGGAGACGTTGAAGATTCTCTTTTGACAAAAGGTTTATAAACAATTCTCCTCAAAGTCATACAGGTTTGGAGTGACATGAAGGTGTTTAATGGAAGACCGAACATTTTATTTCTCAGTGAACTGTCCATTTAATGAGCTAAGCTGTCCTGGTATTATAATTAAGGTTCTCCTACTTGTCTTTGTCTCCTCTTACTTGATAACAAAAGTTATGCAAGATCTCCTATAGGAGACGGCGCTGTAAAAACTGTCTAATGTAATCCTAAGGCCAGCAGAAAGCACACGAACTGTGGATCCCCTCCCAAAAATAATGAAATAAAGGGTCTTTTTTGCAAGAGTCTTTCTTGATCTTCTTCTTTGCGCTCCAGGCTATGTGCAGCTGAGAAAGTGAGTGAGTAACTCCTTAATGGCTCTGGCTCATTCGAAGCTGTGCAGAAAGACAGCGAAAGCAGCATTGGGGGAAACTCTAATGTGTGTCTGGCCTTGAAACATGTTGTCTTTCAAGCATTCAAGTGTTTAATGATGGAACAGAAAACAGAATAATTGCATTTGCTGGTGTGCTGGATGCCACATTGTTTATTAGATGTGTGGTTTGGAATTCACGGTGTATAGGTAGCGTTCATCTAAAGTTTATTTTGCATTACATTTTCTCATCATAAGTTGATTGGGGACTCTCTGTCCTACTATGCATTACATGTGCAAATACTGCATTTTGTACAGAGAATTACAATGTACTTGATCTATACAATAATTTGGATGCTTTATTATTATCGTGCACAAGCAACAGAAAGCTAGACAGTTTATAAAGGCTTTTAAATCAAAAGCCTCAGGGTGAACTGAACGTAAACTTGTTGCGATCCGTATGTCACTGATAAGCTTGACACAGCATCTAGAAGTACAATAGCAATCATGCTCACATGTACTCCTGCAATGCTTTTGCATTCTTTGAATACTATTTCTTCCAACATGGGGAAGAGATGTTTTCAACTATAATTCAACTGCAATAAACATAGAAAATTAATGTGCATTATATGTTTGAAAACTCAGATATTGGTGTTAATTTAACAACAGCTAGGCAACTGCTGTTATATTAAATTGTGCTTTGTAAATAAATTAAAGAAGAAAGAACTATCAAAACAAAGTCTGTGGTATGTTGCTCCTAAATACTGTCATTTTTTTACTTCAACCAAAAAGTGACCCATAATCCCTAATACAGGTTTCATAAGGTACCATATGATACCGTACTTCATGGTACCATACTGGTTATTGATGATTTTTATTTACTAATATTGAATATTTAGTACTCCTAACTTGTTAATTTTTCCTAATACATTCAGATCGTTATCATCTGCTATCATCTAACACTCAGTTAAATTAATCTTTGAAAATACTAATCCTTCATTAACACGAATGTAATCTTTAGCAAATCAAATAATTAAAAAAAATCTGTTTTTAATATTATATATTATACATTTGTGATGCCTAAATGCACATGTAGCATTCACTGACATTCATGAATGTATTTATTCACAAGCACCAGAATTATTTATTTTTTATATTTTTAAACTGAAGCGTACAGAATTTTTTCATATTAGCCAATTATGGGTAATGTGAACAAATATTGGCAACAGCCAGAATTTCAATATTGGTGCATTCAGTCCTGCGCACATAGTTGGTCACATCAAAATTTAAAGTAACACACTTCAGATTATTAATTATTATTATTAATTATAAGTAGATCAAGCACCAAAAATTTAAATGTTACTTTACTAATCCGAATATCAAAACACCAAACCTAACGAACAGCAAAGGGTAAAAGTATCAATGAAAAAACACAAATAAAATAATAAAAAGTACTAAAAATAACAACAGTAATGCAATACGAATGTTGTGTATGATTAAGTAACATTCTAGATTTGAATTTAGACCAAATGAAATAAGTAAAATCCAATACTTTCTATTAAGAGGCCAACTGAAATTAGGATCATTATGGTCACCATGTGCTGACAGGCAGCATAGGATGAGGAAACATCCAGAAGCAATGAAATAAAGGACATGAGCAGCAGCAGTGTGTGACAACAAATTCTGCTTTTGTTAGTAAGCTTCATACATGCCTGGAGAGACAGCTTGTGCTGGAGAGAAACGCTCACCATCAAGGGCAGGGTGGCCTGTGTCTCGGTCCCAGAATGAAGCGTCCCTGAAGATGTCCAAAGACTGTCTCTCCCTCCAGAGTTGACATGAGAGGGTTCCTCTAATCCAGACTGTCAGAAGGAGAAGCAAGGACACCCAAAATGAGCAGTAGGCAACTGATCCATATCACTACTGTCAAAATCCCTGGGGAGGAAGAAGAACAGAATCGAGTGGATCAAGTCAAGCAGAATGTAAATTCAGACGATGAGGCAGCATGTGTGTGCTGTTATATGTGATCTTCAGTTGTGTGTGATTCAGAATCTACTGGGAGATGACAATGGCACAAGCACACATGGGACAATAACAAGAGAAATAATATATATATAGAACTTACTAATGATGTTTGGTCATTTACTACCATTTATTACTTGATCATTTATATCCGAATGGATGGCTCTAGAATACAAATTAAATGGTAGTAGTCAAAACATTAGCTTGCAAGACTTTGTCTAGTGTGAGTCACAGCACAGACTGTCTCGTCTAGCAGTGAGAGAGCCATTAGTTTATGTGAGCTGCTGGTACGGTAGAATAATTCACAGTACCGTGGAAAGCATATCGCATAATTGTGATATCTTGTAGCACTTCGCTCTGCATCATAGATAACTGTCATTACCATCAGCGTTTCTCATTTCTCACACTTACATACTTATAAAATATAACCGTCACACAGTTCTGACAAGTTGCTAGTTTTCTCTAGGCATGTGCCTGGTTTCCACAATAATCTACAATGCAGCATTGCCACTGTAAAAACAACTTCAGCCTGCTCTGATCAGATCACAACACAAGAACTTCTACACAAAGTGACAGAGTTTCCCCCACAAGATCAACAGTATTCACTCCGTTAGATTTCTCAAATAAAGCAGTGCAAAAAAAGCAAGTAACACATATCAAAACTTCTGCGGTTCTTAGGTTTCTCCTCCGAGTTTAGAAAATGGATCAAAGACTTTTTTGTGTTATTTATCTGAAGTTTGTTTTATTTTATGTGGTCCCATTTAGGCCTACAGTAATAAAACTCTTTCAAATTCTTAAAATGAATAATAAATAAGAAAAGATAATTGAGGTATAAAATATTAAAATATGTAATATAAAAAATGTGATGATTTTCTAGGTAGATCATTTAATGTTTGGGAAACAGGCACCAAAACCTTCTATTGGTAAACTAATAGGCTTTTCTAAACTTGGCAACCGCAAGTGCACAAAGTAAGAAACATTAGAAAGTTGGTTTTGTTTAGTGGCAATCTCTTTTCAGATGTTCCAGTAAAACTTTGAAAAAGTGGTCCCAATTATAAGGACATTTTATAGGACTGTTCTCAGCGTATAATTCGAGTTTATTTCGGCGAATGGTACATTGTGCCGCACAATGTGATTTCCAAATCTTTTTATCTATCTACAGCTTTCTATCCAGAAGAACATTACATTTTATTGAGGTGGTTTTGCACAGTTCTCAATTATGTTTTGTTTAGGTATCAGTTTTCTTTAGGAGAAAAAACTGAAACAAATGATATAAAACAGTAAAAGAGATATAAAAATCAACAAATTTCATACAATAAGACTATAAAGCAGCTGTTGAGACAATGTTCTCAGAACTTTGGATATTGTTCTGGCAAGGTTCTCTCAAATTTATGAACAAACGTTCTTCTAGTAATATTGAAAGAAAGTTTGTTCAAAGTCATAACATTCTCAAAACATTTGCAAGTCATTATTTACACATTGTTCATATAAGTTTTTTTCTAAAATATTTTAGCTAGATGTTCGTCTAACATTTTTTAAGTGTTACTATTTGTTTCAGAACATTTAGAGAACTTTCAAATAAAACATTCACATATTTGCATTTTTTCTTCAACATTAAAGATAATAGGAAGATTGTGGGTAACTAAACAGGTGTTGGTCCCCACTGACTTCTACACTGTGGAAGTCAATGGGGACCAGAAACTATTTTTGTGTACAGCAGAAGAAAGAAATTCATACAGATTTGGAACAACATGAAAGTGAGTAAATGATGACAGAATTTTCATTTTTGGGTGAACTATCCCTTTAAAGTTTTTTTTTTTTTTTTATAAAAAATAAAAGAAACCTGTTTCTAATATTCAGAGCACAATTAGAACTGACATTTTTATAATTTTTCATAAATTAGCAAAATGTTCTTAGAACATATCTTTTGCTGGGTAAATACTGTACATAATATTACTGAGATTTTTCTCTGGTATCTATTTGCTCTTTATTTAATCTCACTGCAATCTCAGAGAAACAACTGAGGTCTTAAAGATCTCATTTGTGATTTTACTTTTCTATGGGTACATTTGTCAAATTCATGGCTTTCAAAGTCAATTAAAGTATTGTCATCCCACATAAACTGTCATCATAGCCCATTTTTAAAATGATTTTTCAACCAATTTTTCGCTAGTCAGAACTCTCATGGCTGATGCACCAACAAATGAGCAATTATTTGAAGCAATTATTTATTTGTCACCCTTCTCCCATACAACTAGGAGTGTCATATCTCCAACAGAAGAAGGCTAGACTACAGCAAATGAGGCACCCTGACCAAAATTGAGTTGCTGCTAGTGCGATGCTGCCTTAAGGTGGTGTTGATCTGTGGCTGTGATCAGAATAACGAGGCATCATGTGTTTTAAAGCTTCTAGAAGTTTGCTTTATGACATTTGCTTTATGTGGGTGTGAGTTTCCCGAGCTGCAAATCCCACAACGCTACTCACAGAACAGGAGCAGCTGCTCTGAGTGCATAAACACTGGCCAAACTGCAGAAAGCCACTGAGTAATGTTCAATATTTTTTCACTCGACACCAAGCATCAGTTTCTAGCATTTTTTTCAAGTAGTTGTTTGATTATAGTGGATGGTTTTGTGCTGCCCTGTTGTTTTGTGCTTTCCATGCTTTTCTCCCCAGTTAAAATTCTGCACAATGCCTCCACACAGAGTTACAAATGAAAGGCCTTTGCTCTCCCTAACTCTTCCACAAACCAGTTCTCACCTACCTCTGGCATTTGAGAGAGGGAAAATAATTAAACATGTCCCTTTGAACTAAGTGAATTAATATGCCTGAAGTCACAAGTATTTAGTGAGATTATTAATTAATGTGCACCTGTTGCTAAGTGGGCTGGAGTCACGGTAGCAATGCCTTCGGCATGTATATATGATCCATCATTTAATGACTCACTTGTAATTCCTGTTTTAAAGTAGACCTCTGCTCCAAGAACAAACATCCTAATGCCCAAGAAATTAAAGGCCATCAGACTGAACCCCTGAATGGCAATTAGATTCATCACATATGTTAGCACTGAAAGGGTACAGCTGCAACAACACTGTGCACTGAATTTATGAACTTTTCAGAGCAGTACACAAATGTTAGTGGCCACATTATCCAAGAGAAGGGTACGGCTCGAAAAGACCTGAAATCCATGCAAAGAATATGAATAATAATTAATAATAATAATAATAATAATATAATAATAATAATATACTTCAAATGTATATATTACAAACTTCACATGCTTCAAGGGGAAGGAATTTGCCTACACTGTATATATGAAGAGTTCATTTGCAAAAACAGATAACTAACTAACAGATTTCAAAAATCATGTTTTTTCATTGTGCATTCCAATTAATCTCAATCAAACTGCAGTTGGGTTATTTTGATTAGGTAAAACTAAAGGTAAACTAAAAAATACAGCTATCTAACACAATAAATACATGATAACATAATAAAAAACATGATTTTTGAAAATGTAAAAAGAAATGGAGTTATCTGTTTTTGCAAATAAACTCCTTGCACAATTGGTGGCTGACTAAATACTTTTTTGCCCCACTGTATATATAATAAATAATAAGTGAAATAACCTTGTTTCTAATTCGAGGATGCTTCTGATTCCTATGCAGGCTGGGCTAAAATTGGTCATAAATTAACATGAGAGCAGGTTCCAGCCCCTGCACGTTCTTTCTCGTTTACTGCTTTAGCTTATCATCTCTGCTCTCATTCTATTTAATCTCTATATCAGTTTTAGACACAGATAGAAGTAAAAGAGATAGATGCCTTGGAATTTTTGGCACATGTGTGACAGTGTGAAATCCAAAATCCCTGGAGATCAGATTAAAGATGGAAGGGAAGTAAAGCTCCTGCACACTACGACAGCTCCATGCCAGTGTGGGAGGTCAGAAAGGTGGATATCTGAGAACAGAGTGATATAGTAGTTTTGTGAAGAGAGTGTTGTGATATTGCTGCCAAACTGACTCCAGGCTGTCACATCATTTAAGAGACAAAAACAAACAGCACTAGGTGAAGTCTTGAAAAAAAACAGTATCTGGAGACATGGTTAATAATATTTATTGCGTTCCAAATCTCTTATCATCTCTGTAGATATTAAGAGCTTTCTTGTAATCAAAGCCTAGTTTAGCAAACAATGTTAAATTCAACAATGTATGATTTATGCACCATGTATAAACAAATATTTTAATATTAAAACATCAAAATAATTTGGAACAAACATTTAATGGCAAAATTATTCTTTCACATTTTTAAATAACAATTTTTAACAATGTTTGCTAATTAGTCTTCGATGTAGGGATGTAAGCAGGCTGTAATACATTATTAAAAATTGCCTTTGAATTAACCTTTCAAGATGCTCTCTTAGACACAAATAGCTTAAATTAACTCAAATGGAAAGGTTATGACGCCACAGCCATCAAGATGATTAAACCCTTTTAGGGTCTACACTGACGAAGAATGTAATTATGTGGGAGCTGTAAGCTATTGCAATTCAAGTACAGTTAGTTCTACCAACCTCTTCCCACACAGTCTCACCTCTCACACAAACAGTGACACAGGCTTGATCCCTTACTCACGGAAACCCACACAATTGTAAAATAAAATAAATAACACACCATTAGATGCATTGAAAAAAAAAACATTGCAGCTATTTCTGAGTAAAAGTTCAAGACTCTGAAAGACTGCAGCACAACTCAAAATATGGCAAGAGGGCATGTAATGCACACCTGGTTCTAGTTTGGATTTCTTCTCTTTGCACTTTCACCAAGAGGCTACATGCTGTGACACTTGAGGGCCAAACCTAAATAATGCTCTGTCATTTTTATATGGGGGGAAAACTACTTGGCCAGAGCCCATGCGGCTGG